GGGGGTGGAGGGGGGCTTTTTTTTTTTTACTTTTTTTAATAATATGTAAAATATAATATATAATTGACCATGCAGTGCATTTTTGTGTTTACAATGGGGCAATTGCTTCACAATAGCTTGCACACAGCACAAGCCTGATTTTGTGAGCTGTATGTTAGGTGGCCTTATGTTTGAGATCGGCCTTTATAGAGACCGACAATCAAATTTCCCAAAGCGATTATCGACCGATAGCACCAGCCGATAATCAGAGCACCCCTACTAAGAAGGCTGGAACACTTAATAATGTATTAAGACAGTGGTATTAAAAGATCAAATTTGATATACAGCTTATATGGTACTAAATTAGTTTTAATTGTTTAACCACCACAGCTTCTTGTCTCCATTGGCAACACGGACGATTTGTGCCGATTGCAAGTGACGTTGCAGGTAGCGGAGAGTGCAGGTGGCGATTGCAAATGACGTTGGTTTTTTTTTTGTTTTTTGTTTTTTCTTGTCTTCACCACCTGGCTACTTTTGTAAAATGTTGAGAGATTCAATTAAAAAAAAAATAAATAAATAAAAAAGATTGACGTCACTTGTGGAAGTGCAGGTGTCTGAGAGTGCAAGTGCATGTCTGCAGCCAGAACTTTCTCACAGACGTTGATCTTCTGCAGAGGCGGTGTTTAGCCACACTATTACATCATCAAGTGGCACATTCCACAACCTGATGTTTGGCTTCAATATAAGCTGTTTTTAGACTAACGAGAAAGTTTTGAGTTGTGAAACTTAAAGGATGTTTTTATAGTACAATGACCTCTTATATGTAAAAAGATCAAAAGAATTTTGATTTCTCAGTTCATGACCCATTTAAAGGCAAATGATGGTAAAACACCTTAATAAAGAAATAAGGTGTTCACATTATTTTGTCCTACCACTTATATAAGCATCTTATGCTCACAAAGGCTAGATTTATTTGATATATATTTTTAACATCATAAAAACAATACTATTGTGAAATACTATTTCAGTTTAGAATAACTGTTTTCTATTTTATTGTATTTTTAAATGTAATTTATTCCTGTTATGGCAATGCTCAATTTTAAACAACAATTACTCCAGTCTTAAGTGTCACATGATCCTTCAGAAATCATTCTTGTATGCTGATTTGGTGCTCAAGAATCATTTCTTATTATTTTCAATGTATCCTTGCTGAATAGAAGTTTTACTTTTCTTTTTCTTTTTTAATCTTACTGACCCCAAACATTTTTTATTCATATTTTTTATTTATTTAATTTTATTTTTTGCAGCTCCATCAATGGCTCCACCACCTGTACCGCCCCGTAACATACAAAGGAGAGACACTCTGTTTAGCGCTCTCCCACCCCCATTACCGCCGAGAGGTGAGAAGACATTCACACTCCCTTCATAACATGAACAAGCACAGGAAATATTCAGTTATGCAAAAACTTAATCGATACACTAAAAGCACTCTGATGTTTTACAATAAACAGGTTCAATTAGTTGTTTTATTTGATTTTGTGAGCTGAATTACACAAGAAACTCTGTGTTCCAACCTTTATATATTATTTTCCTTCACTCTCTATCTCAGGTCTGGAGAATAATGGAGAGACTCACCTTAAAGCTAATGTAAATGTGGTGTCGCTAAAAGTGGGAAGCCTCGTGGACGTTAGTAAAGGTGTGCTAAACTGCTAAACAATCTTTTTTGAAAGCATAAATATCCTAACTGTTCCATTTGTTTAGCTCACTTACTGTCTCTTTAGCATCTGCCATAAAGTGCAGCCAAAAACCAGTGTGTTGTGGGAAATGCAATGCTGTCATGTCCTCAGCAAGCAGCCCAGTGACACACCAAAAAACAATAGTAAGTTATACCAACAGGTGCCAAACCATCTGATATTTGTGTTTATATGACATTGACTTATTTTCAAAGTGATTCCTGTCCCTTTTTTGTAGATATGGAGCTGTGAGTTTTGTGGGAAGGAGAACGTTTACCCCCAAACTACACTGAAGGGAGGCCGGTTTCCTTTGCGCAATCCTCCAGGCAGGGATATACTTTACATGGACGACGATGAGGACACAGAGTATGAGAATCTCGATGACATGCTTATTGTCCTGTGTGTGGACATTTCTGGAAGTATGAGCGTCACTTCTGAGGTGCCAATCACTTTCATTACAGACGAATAACAGAGCTGTTATTATGTTCTCAACACCCTCACTTAATGTTCACATTAAATATATTTTCCTCTCAGATCTCTCCCGGTAACAGCATGCGATCGCCCACATATATTTCGCGACTGCTGTTCTCAACACCCTCACTTAATGTTCACATTAAATATATTTTCCTCTCAGATCTCTCCCGGTAACAGCATGCGATCGCCCACATATATTTCGCGACTGCAGGTAAAAAAAAAAAAAAATGTAATTAAAAAAATGTTTTGCTTATGTAAACAGGCACAATAAATGTGAAGTTACTCCCATTTTTTGGGTTCAGGGAGTCCAAGAAGCTCTTCAGATGGTGCTGTCCTCCCTGCAGAAAACCTCATCTCACCGAAGAGTGGCACTGGTGACATTTAACAATGAGGTAAAGAGACTTATGGGAAACACATACTGTTTATTATTCCCAGTTCTGATCACAAAGATTTTCTCAGTTTTTTTCTGTACACTTGTTTGCAAAAACTGCCACACTATTATTTGAAGTTTTTGCAATGACATATAATTATTGTGGTCTAATATTACAGGGATTTTTAAACTGGGGTCTGGGGAAAAATATTTTGTATTTTTATATATTATGTAAAATATATAATATATATATATATTATTATATATAATGGAATTGTTAGGTGTAATTTTACTGGAAATATATTTATTGTGAAAAGCACTATACATTCATATTAGAATTTATTTTTAAAATGTTTAAAGTTTATACTGTACAACATTATTCTAATGTTAGGTAGAAAAAAAGATAAACTTAATACAAAGAATTTGAATATTTGCTTTGCCTTATGTGCAATGTATTTATTTTTAACTTCCAACATGTTGTCTTTATAATATGCATGCTGTTTCTCACTTGTTGTAAATGTCTTTAAACATGAAAATATAGAGCTGCTTTTATATTATATGTAGGGTAGCTTCAAAAAGTTTGAATACACCCGGTATAATATACCCCAGGCGCGCCGACCGTTTTCCCGTCGTTAAACTAGCAAAAGTGGATTCGGACATGCCCTGAGTGCACCTTCACCCTGCACTTTAGACCATGCACTTAGATCGTTAAAATAGAGCCCTAAATATTACACTGCTATTCTGATATACAGTGGGTATAGAAAATAATCACCCCCTTTACAATAATCACAATTTGTTGCTTTGTAGCCTGAAATGAAAATGGACACATTTTTTGTTTTATCCAGCTGTATTTACTCAGTGCAACTTATAACATCTTATAGTGAAAGAAATAACACCAACATGTCAGAAAAAAAATAAAAAACCTGAATCACTGAGTAGGAAAAAGGATCACCCCAGTCCTAAAAATGACTTGTAAACTCAATCAGGTGTAGCTAATCACCTTCTCAATGGCACACAAAGTCATTTGACTTTCAACTGTGATCAGCTGTGGTCATTTTGATTAGCTCAGCATGAAAAGTGCATTCCTGAAACCTTTCAGTCTTTGG